ACGTCTTTTGAAAAGCAGGTTCTGGGAAAAAAAACTAGAGAGATGACAATGGGCAAACAGTCTGTCCTTTAAAAACCATGCAAATTTGGATGCAGCTCCAGGACATTGCAGGCCAAAGATAATTCCCTGCAAGCAATTACATTGTTTTGCCATATGTGGTACACAGACCAGCTGTTGTACATTATGTTTTGATTCAGCAAATAACTTTAATCAATACACTGACTCGTTCTGTCAGTTATAATTAAACTCAGGTAAATGGCAGGTGCAGCATTAATTAGCAAAATGGAAGTCTGTAATAGAATGCATTGTAGGTATGTGGTCTTAAGCCCTAAATTGTGCCGTTCCACTTACTGTCCACTTAATCCCAAAAGATTGGCAGCAGGGAGAGAAGGCAAGTGAGTAGATTCCAAGCCTGGTGATCTGCTCCAAGGGTAGACACAGCTTCTCTTTCCCTTTCCATTTAGACCCAGCATTCACTTGTACTGCGCTGTTTCTTGATAAATTTTGGCTACCTTACCTAGCCCACCATTTGGGGACCTGGGTCAGAACAATTTGTTTCCATTTTTAACAGCCCACAATTCATCTTTTTTTTTCCCCCAAAACGTGAGCAGGTTTTGTATCTAGGCCCTGTATCTAGGCCCTGGGTGGGCAACTTCAGGTGTCAGTTTTTTCATTCTCTCTTTCCAAGGTCCCACTGACCAAGCAATGGAGGAATAAGGGAGGCAAGGTAATCCATATTTTCTGCCCTTCTTGAGTAGGTTGGGGGAAAAGAGAAAAATTGCACCCCACATTGTTTGTACTTCAAGAAGAGAATTTGAAACAGATCCACCAAAAGAAAACCCCAAAGGAGTCAAATCATGAGTTGCCATAGTTTTGGAAAACATGGGAACTTCAAAGCTAGGTTTATAATCTTGGCTTTTTCCCATGAACAATAGTTTACTACAGTTTGGAATTTAGGCACGGCAGACCAAGGCCAGGTTGGAAATGAGAGACAGAAAAAAAGGGGAATTCAATTCTAGATGAAGAGCTCCACATATCCTGTAACAGACCAGAGTTAACTGAAAGCAGAAGTATGAGAGCACAAATATCCAGATATTTAAACACTAAACTGGGTTCTGAGGCTGAATCAGATTAACATACCTGTATTTTCTTTCACATGCACAAACTAACTTGCTCCAAAGATACTAGCATAAACCCTCATTTGACACTAAGTTCTGGATTGTGTACTCCCCTAACAACAGATGATAGGCGTAGCCACACTGCATATAAAAGACAGGTGCAGTTTTAACTGCACAATGGTGGGTGTCATCTTATATTTTGATCCCACCTTGAAAATACTCCTGGATATACGAGAAAATTTTCCAAGGGTTTCCGAATGGAAAAAGGTCAGGATGTTGATAGGAAGAGATTTACCAGTACTGGGTAGTCATTTTCATCTTGAAAACATTTTTTTCTTTCCTAGCTTCATTCTTCTTCTTGTGCCATATCCATCACTGGACATTGGCTATCATGTTAGCGATCCTATTTTTATTAACAGCCACATGAAAAAGGGCTGCTGAGTTTTGTCCAAACCGGTCTCTTCGATTTTGAAGCCATGATGTTCTTCTTCTGCCTGGACTTCGCTTGCCTTCAGTCTTTCCCTGGAGGATTAAGTGATGGATGCCGTATTTTTCCAGGTGTCGCATCACGTGTCCAAAATATTCTAACTTTCGCTTTTTAATGGTTTTTATCAGGGATAGGATCCAAGTAATTTAACAATTGGTTCTCTGCCCTAATGATTGCTCCCAACAACCAGTTCACCAATGCTCAGAAAGTTAACAACCAGTTCTCCCAAAGTGGTTTGTGAACTGGCTAAATCCTACCACTGGTTTTGATGATTTCCCTTGGCTTTCCCAGGCAGCTTATCTCCTCCTCATTTCTGATTTTGTCAACCCAGCTTATATGTAGCAGCCATCTGTGAATCTACATTTCTTTTTTAAAAAAAATATAGTTTATTAATTTTTACAATTAAAACCAGTCACAATACATGCACAAATAAGCAAAAGAAAGAAAAAGAAAGAAAAGAGGGGAGGCAGAGAGGGAAAGAATTTTGAGAAAGGAAAGAAAAAGAAAAAGAAAAGGGGAAGAAAGAAAGGAGGAGGTTACAAGGTTAAAAGTATTCTTATTTTAACAGTTTGCAAGATCTTCTTTTGTTTTCATAACCTTAACTTGTGTCATATAACCACACCTGTTTTTTACTTATATCGCTACCTCGTTATTATGGGTTGATACTTTTCTTTTATGCCTTATGATATATAATTTATCTTTGGTCAATCCAATTATATCAACAATTCCAGCTATCGTAGTATAGTGAAGTGTCTTTATTTTTTAGCGCCAAAGTCAATTTATCCATTTCTGTGCATTTTGAGATTTTTTTCAATAATCATTTCTTCTGATGGAGTTTGATGTTGTTTCCAGTGTTGAGCGAAGGCTAATCTGGCCGCTGTTAAAATGTGCATTGTTATGTATCTAGCTTTTTTGGAAATTTGCTTATCAAAAATCCCTAGTAGGAAGGACTCTGGTTTGTATTCGATCTGCTCTTTTGTGATTTCTTCCAAGTTTTGATTTTCTTCCAATACTTTTGGATTTCTGCACAAGACCACCACATATGGAAAAAGGTTCCTTCTTTTTTCCTACACTTCCAGCAATGCGGACTCATGTTGGGGTGCATCTTTGCTAACCTTGAAGGGGGGAGATGCCATCTATAAAACATTTTATAAAGATTTTCCTTGTATGCTGCCGATTTGGTAATCTTATTGTTTCTGCCCCAAACTTTCTCCCATTCCGCTAATGTGATGCTGCGCCCTACGTTCTTACTCCAAGCAGTCATATTTCCTTTTACAATTTCTTCTTCTAGTTCTGTTTCTAATAAGTAGTTATAAAATTTTGTTATTTTTTTTTATTTGATCCTAATAAAATTTTATCTAATTGTTGCAATTTATTGTTGATTCCGAATTCTTTTTTGTCTTGTTTGTATCTGCTTTGAATCTGAAGATAAACACATTGATCAATTTTTGGTCCTTGCTCCTGAAGTTCCTGCCTCGGTTTCAATTTATTTATTTATTTATTTTTTGTGAATCTACATTTCAAATGCTTCTTGTCTCTTCAAGTGGCTTTCTGTCAGAGACCAACTTTCTACTCCGTAGAGCAGGATACAAAAGGTAGCTGGCATTATATATTAATAGCTGGTTTAGAATTCATGTGTCCTACTGAGCTCTGGTCTCACCAGTGGGTCATTCCACCTCTTCGATGACAAAAATTCTTTAGACGGTTTTAGATAATTTTCTTCACTGGATATTTGCTCCCAAAACAAACTGCTTTCCCAAAAACCTGAAACTGCATATTGCATGTGACAACCACTGAAAATGTAATCATTCACAAAAAGTACTTGTTTCTAACCAAGACAAAGGAACTCTGATAAGACTTTCCCCAATTGTTCTGCCAATGTACTTTTCATTCACGAGTTATAAAAAGCATACTTTTGTCTAGATTGGCCTTTAAAAAAACCACTTGGATTATCTGTATATGCGGCAAAGGGTGAACTTTCCACTAGAACCTATATCCCATTTTCAATTGCCAGCCTTTGTAATATGCATTCCTTTCACAGGTACTATTAACATTATTATTTCAATTGTTATTTTTTATAGCATTCATCTCGCAAAGAACTAACTCATCTGGAGACAAAATGATCCCCAAAATGAAATGCAATACAGCTGGTAAGAGAAAGATAATTGCAATACCCATAATAAAATCTGTAATCTAACTCTGCGTCCATCAGTCACCAAGTTCTATTTTAATATAGTTAACTGCCTTTCAGAAGCGGCAGGGCACAGTGGGGGGTGGGACCAAAACTTAACACCCGTTGCTGGTCATGAAGCAACAATGGAATAAACAGCTTCCTTTGCATAAAATTCCACAGTAAGATGTGAGCTTTTATTGTTTCCAATAGATTAAAGAACAGCACATATGTTCAATTGTGAAGAGAATGTTAAACAACTGGAAAGAACATTTTAAATTGCCTAAGAATGAGCTAAATGTCAACATTCAGGCCTGGTGGGAGCAACTTAAACATTTTTTTTTTTGGCCAAGATGTTAATTGGTGAGCTCTGCTCAAAACCGAACTTGTTCTTTTATACACAGAATCAGGGGGTTTAGGGGGACCTTGAAGGTCTTTTAGTCCAACCCTCTGCCCAAGGGAGGAGTCCGCATAACATCTTGGATAAATGGCTATCCAATCTTTTCCTAGAAACCTCCAAGTGAGGGAGCACCCATAATTCTGGGAGGCCATCAATTCCACCCCTTGAGGCTTCCCACTGTCAGGAAAGTCGTCCTTATTTCGAGGCTGGATCTTCTTTTGAGGAGCTTTGCTGCATTGCTTCTTGTCCCAACCGTGGTACTCTCTAGCCTGAATTATTCTGTCTCACCAAGAAGTAGGATGCAGTCTACTTTATCCAATGCCTCACTGAAATCTACGCATACTATATCCAGAGCATTTCCACGGCCCAGTAATCTAGTCACTTTATCAAAGAAGGTAACAAGGTGAGTTTGGCATGAGCTGCTCGCAGGGACTGTTCACGTGGCATCTGCAAGGGAGGTATCTTTTGACCCAAAAGTAAATGTTCTTCCCAAGTATGAAGCCTTCAGATCTAACCTTTATTACAATGAAAGCAAGAACCTTCTCAAGTAATTTCCTCCAACAGACCTGAGAACATGAAATGCCGAATGAACGCCCAATTCACCACCCCTCGTATATGAAACTAGCAGAAGCAAAACAAGAATGTACCTGAGATTCCGGCTACAAACACAGATTAATAATAAATAAACAAACGAACAATATTGTTCCAAAAAGGAAATACTGGTGATTCCCCAAGATTATAGATTCTGTTTGTTTTCTAAACCATTCGGCCCATTACAGAAACATTTTTGAAAAGCTTCAATTTTGGAGAAAAAAAGCATCTTACTTTCCCATCCAAACGGCATAGCTCTCTGGAAGCCTCGGGATGAAGAGGATGGTATTTCCATTGTCCACTTCAATGGCTCCATAGCAGTCGGCCTCTGTTACCCCAAAAGTCCAATGAAAATAGGATTCCTAGAAAAACAGAAGGAAAGAACCTCGTCACTGATCCAAATCACCATTATCTGACACGCTGGCGCATTGATTCATTAATTCTAAAGAAACGAATAGAAATGAAATGCCTACAACATCATAGCATGGCTTTGAACGGAGTGGTTGTGAATTTGAAAACTGACTGATTCTGGAGAGATTCCATCTTTAGCTCTTTCACACAGGGATTATGTTTTCCTGGACAGAACTGACCCACAATCTGAGATTCACAAAACTGAGTTCGAGACTATGGCCAAAAATGTTTTTTGTCAACTGCAACCATTCCTGAAACGGGAGTCTTTGTTGATAGCCATCCATGCTCTTATCACCTCATGTCTAGACTGCTGCAATGTGTTCTATGTTGGACTGTCCATGAAGACCATTCAAAAGCTGCAGGTAGTTTAATATATGGCAGCCTTGGGAATTATGGGTATGCCAAGTCTTGTCCATGTGACATCTCAACAGCGGGAACTTGGCTGGCTGCTGGTTAGCTTCCAGGTGTGCTTCTAGGTGGCAGGTGTCATTTAGAAAGCATAATGTGGCTCAGAGTCCAGGTCTTTTAAAGACCTTCCGGTCCGAGTGGAAACGGATGAGATCATTTATGTTAAAGGTCCTGCCACAAAAAGAAATGTCATCTTGAGGGACCTTGATGTCAAGTCTTCTCAGTGATGAACTAGCCTCAAGGTATGAGAACTGCTCCTTTCAATTATGGTAAGTAGAGAATCCTGAAGACCTGGTCCTTTTGGAAGCCTCTGGAGATGGGGTGGAAGGTTGAATCACCCCACCAAGGGGGTAGGTACATGGAGTGTTTTGGTTTTGACTTTTGACATTGCTTTTATACATTGATCAAAGCTGTAAGCTGCTCAGCATCATCTGATTGAAGCAGTACAGAAGCCCAAATAAAATATTGTTTTTTAAAAAATAGGGCTACAGAAATGGCTACTCCATGTGTTATATTTCACTTTCGCTCCAAATTTCCCTTTTTCTCATAAAAATGAAACAAGTGGTTTCAAAATTACATGCTCCCAGACCCAACCAATAAATTGCACTGAACTCTAGTTCAGCTAACAAAGTCCTGATTTACATCCCTAAAACAAACCAAGTTGATTACACCGCTTAACTCGTCTCTCGGTCAGACTCCTCTGTAGACTGGGCCACGTCCTCATGCTCTAAAAGAGGAAAGGGTCATGAAATGGCTGGGGGAACATGCAAAGCCCCTCCTTCCCAGGGAGGTCTTTTAGTTTGGCCCAGGTGGGCTGTTCTTAAAGGGAAAAGACAAGAGGGGGAGGCTCAGAGGTCCTGCAGTACTGAACTTTGAAGGCTATTAGTTGATGCCATGCAAGGACAAGCCATTGAAATTCCAGGCTAGCAGGAGACCTTGGACTGATAAAGCCTCCACAGATGATAAAGACTGATAAAGCCTCAGCAGATTAGCTGGAAAAAAACAACAACAAAGAGCAAAGATAGAAAGGAGAGGAAAGTCCACGAGCACACCTCAGCCGTGGCTCTTTCTTGGTCCTGTCAGGAGATACCAGGAGCTGAATCTTGCATACAGAGCCATTGCCCAACTATTACGCCAGGCCTGAGTGACTAGTACAGTCACGGGAGAAATCAACATAAATCAATCTACAAAACTTATCAGGGCAAAAGCTGCATCAAAGAGACTTTGGCCCTTAATATTCACCTAACATTTCCCACAAAATGATCGTTTTACAGTCTACTGTGCCTGTACATCCTGTCCATTTATCTCAAGGTAAACTGCACCAAACTCGATCGCAGGAAATACAACTTCAGCCACAGAGTGCTCAGTGCCTGGAATCCACTACCTGAATCGGTGGTTTCTTCCCCAAACTCCAAAAACTTTAACCTTAGACTGTCATGCTTATCCTGGTTCCTACATTAACTAATTTTTAGGCTTTGCGCAATAGCTTCCACTATAAAAACTAGCTCCCCTGGCTTCTTTCACATAAGACACCAGGTTACAAAAATTAACCAAGGTTAAAGGTAAAAGGAGCTTCGTGTGGTATGGAAATTTAGCTGCTTCAACTTTAATGGGCCTTATTACAAGTGTTACAACTGCTACAAACCTAGCTAAAATGAATTAAAAATGTGGATAGGACAGAAGCTCTGGTGCAGGACAATCCTCTCGCACACTCAGGCAATTCAGCTGCACACTCAGTGGAGCAGGGAAGAGCAGGAACCACGCTTTTGTCTATCTTCGCGTTCTGAATGCTGACTGGTAAACTGCAACTCTCTCCATACTGACGGGCCTCCAAAGACTCTGTCCTCTTGTTCTGGCCAAACAGCCATGTTCTGTCTCTGCTACTGAGGGAACATGAAGGAAATCCCAGAGAAAGGGCTGTTCACTATGAGCCTGCATGAAGTCTGACAAAGTGTTTCAGGGACAGAATGTTTGTGTTCTGACCCAACTCCCCAAAGACGACCAACCCTCTGAAGTTAACTCAAAAGATTCGTTTATTGGGCATGCCAGCAGCCCCGGCAAAAAGTTTCTCTCTCATCGCAGGCTAACAAGTCTGTCTGTCCAAAGATGAATAGCTGTCTGCTACACCTATTCATCTCCACCCCTTGCCTTTTATCTCCAGAGCGAGGGTGGGGCTTCACTAGCAGTGGTCGCTCTTGCGTCCCAAGGACCGGCCCACAGATTTCCGCTGTTCTCCTCTCCTCTGCCTTCTGTGCATCCGCGCATCGGGCACTGGACCCAGCTGTTCCTCCTCTTCCTCATCAGCCCCCTCTAGACCTGGGGACTGCTGACTCTCCACCTGAGGGTTGACGGACAGTCCAGGCTCTGCCTCTGTCTCTCTCTCTCTCTCTCTCTGCCAGCTCCATTCCCTCTTCCCCCTCAGAGCTCTCAGGTTGCCCTGATGCTGATCCGGACTCCTCCTCAGCTGATTTGGATGCTGGAGGGGCCGGCGGACAACAGGCCACAATAGTTGGGGAATAGGGAGGTCGGAGCCTGACACAATTGAAATCGCTTAAGGTTTGCCTTTGAACACTTTCAGTTACATTGGAACACGAGTCTTACAAACTTGGAAAAAATGGCACTTTTTCCATGTTCGGTACAGCCATATTAATACGATATTTTTTAAATTTTTATACTGTGGTTATGTTTAAACTTAGTCATCTAGAGTGGCAAGATGCCAGCTATATAAACTGAAATAAATAGTTAAAAATATTTCCTTAAGCATCATGAATAATTATATACCACTATTCTCACTTTCAATCCTCTTGAGAAATTTCCAAACTTCCATGTTAACGGCAAAAAGCTAAACATTTTATTAATTTACATACAGACAAAACTAATATATTCAAATATATGTTGGTAAGGCAGAAAGATTCTTATCAAGGGCAGATCTTTATCAAATGCAAGAAAGAATGACAGTTTCATGCTGAATAAATGAAGATGAACTACATCAATAATAATGTATCTATGACACTAGCAAAAAGAGGGTCAGTTATTTAATGTGATCATCAGTATGCTGTTACACTGAGATTTTAAACTACAAAAATTTTGTTTGTATTGCCAGAATTTACTAAAGAATCTGACAAAATCCAATTCGTTGGGCTTGAAAAGTCAAAGTATTATTAAATTAGTATGCTTCAGAATCATTCCGAAATAATTATCAAAGCAATGTGAGAATTTACTAAAATTACACTCCTGAACATGATATACAAGGCTATTGATAACCACTGCTATGTCCCAATGCGACCTTCTGACCAGCAAAGTTAATGGGGAATCCAGATTCACTTAACAACCAGGTTATTAATTTAACAAATGCAATGATTTGCTTAGCAACCATGGCAAGAAAAGTCATAAAATGGGGCAAACTCACTGAACAATGTTTCACTTAACAACATAAATGTGAGGTTCAATTGTGGTCGTAACTCAAGGACTACCGTTATAAGATTTTACTTAAGCTGTTACATGCAGAAGGCAAAACCACTCACACAAAGCAATGATTCAGCTAATATACGTGGACTGGTTTTATGAGCCATCAGTGCTATAAGATTAAATTATTAATGGCAAGAAAAATTAGTTCGATGCATTTTATGCGCATCCTTCAGGACATGCGCTTTTAGGACAGGTGCTCAAATAAAGTGCTTCCAAGCATAAACAAGGATTGGAAAGTCACTAGAATACAAGAGAGAGAAGGAGAGGGAGGGGAGGGAGAGAGGGAGAAAGAGGGAGGGAGAAAGAGAGACCCAGAGACAGAGGGGGGG